ACTTCCTCTCAGGAGCCTGGTAGCACCTGAGACCAACCCCTGCCTGGTGCCCCTGAGCCCTGTGCGGCCAGGCCCCTGTGACCTCTCCCCTCAGCCCTTTCCCACCACCTCACTCACCCACCTCCTGCCACACTGGTCTCACTGTTCCCCCAACACACCAGGCACAGGCCTGCCTCAGGGTTTTTGCATATGCTGTGCCCTCTGCCTGGAATGTCCTTCCTTGGGACATGGCTCATGCTTTCAGCTCACTGCCTCTCAAGTGTCATCTTCTCAGGGAGAGCCTCTATGATCATAGCACACACACACCCCCCCCCAACACACACGCACTCCCTCTCTGCCTCCTTCCTTCTCTGAAACTTGTGTCACCTGCTAGTATGTGATGCATGTGCCCTCGCCCCAGCTCTCAAGTGACAGGTATCAAGCACTGTCATAGGAGAAGCAGAGGGCATAGTGGAGCCCCAGAGCTCAGGGAACAAAAGTCTCTAACCGTCACAGTGGCTCGGTGAGTGAGCGAGCACTCTGTCCACTTTATAGAGAGATACAGATGCTTGGTCGCCCCACAGGACCTGCCTGCGTGTCCCCCGTTTGCTCACCGCTTTGCAGCTTGGCTCTAGCTGGCTCAGCACAAAAGGCAAAAAGACGCAGAGCTGCCACCCACGGACGAACTTCCTCTGCGCCGAGCCACTGTCCGACTGGAACTTCTGCATGACAACACAGTGGCCAGTGCAGTAGCCCTCTGGGCACCCAGGCCCATGTTCATGCCCTCCCCACAGGCCTCACCTTCAGCACGCGCCCCCTGACTTTCTCCAGCTGCTGGGCAGCCTGGTTGCAGTCCAGGGCAGTGGTCAGACACTGGTCTGCCAGCTGCAGGAAGGTGGCCACGCCATCGGCCATGAGCTGGAGGAGGAGGAACTGGGATGACTGCCGGGTAATCCACTCACCGGCCTTATCAGCTTCATTCCCACCCGACTGACACCTCAGCATCCAATCTGCCCTACCAGCCACTTCTCTCAACCTCCTCCTGTCTCAAGACATAGTACCTCCTCTCAGGACCTAGGGATCATCCAGTCAGTGGGTACCTATGTGCAAACTGGTAGAAAGCAGCCTCCCCTCTGGAGGATGGTGCCAGGGTGCCCAGCCTGGGGAGCAGAGAGCCGGCCAGAGTTCAGCCTCATCAGCTGAGCACTCTTGAGCAGTATGCAAATTGAACAATTGTGCCAGGCAGCACTGCGTCTTCTTAATCCCTGCTTCCTTCACTTACCATGTCTATTAGCAGGTCCCATCCCCTTGGCCTTCAAAATATACCCAGCTTCTCTCCACCAACAGTACCCAACTAGTTGGGGCCTCCTCCACTCCTGCCTCCCATAGCCCATGCTCCCCAAGGCAGACGTGCCTTCTTAACTTTAAATTTGGTCACACCCCTCCCCTGCTCACAAACCTGCTGTGGCTCCCCATTGCCCTTAGGACAGAGCCCAGCCTCTTAACCTCATACTGAGGGCCCTGACACACCTCACTGGCACATCTCCCACCTTTCTGCCCTCCCTTGAAACCTACAACACAATGTCTCTAAATTGCTTTATTTTCCCAAAGGCAGACAAGCTTTCTCACTTCCCAGCACTTATACACACTGTTCCCTCTACCCAGGACATGGCTCAACCCCCATTTCTCTGACTGCTGCCCCAGCTTGGAAGTCTTCTCCTGGAAGTCCTCCCAACCCTTGAGATGGATCAAGCACTTCCTCAGGGCTCCCATGGCACCTTGTGCATCCCCACCCCAGCCCTGTCCATCACGTGTGATCATTGCCTGGTCATGGGTTCATGTCTACATGACACTGGGAGCCCAGCGAGGGAAGGCCATGTCTTACATGGTCACCATGACCTCCCTAGCACACATGTGGCACCTGCTCAGTGAAGACTGTTGCCCTTGCCTCCCTCCTCCCAGCCTCCCACTCACCCTCACCTGCTGTGCGAGATCTTGGGCCCCAAACACCAGACTTCGTGCTCCAAGGAAGCCAAAGGGTACCATCAACCGCCCCAAGCGACCCCGGCTCCGCTCAGCCTCACGGTAACAGGTCTGCATCAGCTCTGGATCCCATGGCATCTCACCAAATGAGTAAACCTGTGCTCCAATGACAGTCAGGTGAGAAAAACACCATCAGCTGATGGAAAAGCAGGGCCAAGGACTTCACAGCCAATTCATCAAAGGAAAAACACAAATGGGAACACATCTTACCTTGGTTATCACCACAAAAATGCATGATAAAAGTAACAGTGAGGTATGGTGTGATGGACATAAAATGGCAATAAAATGTGGAAAAAAGATAATATGTGGTGCTGGCCTGACTGAGGGGAAATGGGCACACTCAGCCCTTTTGGCACCTATGCCCACCACCCGATGGCCTCTCTGTGCTGGGCCATCTGCATAAGTGGAGTAATCCAACACCATCTGTGCCCTCAAGGAGCTCACAGAAAAGTTTGGGGAGATAGACTGTAGGCCATCAACCACAGTGGTGTGTAAATGCCTTCATAAAGAGGGAAGCTCAGGCGGCAGCAGATGCAGAGGGGCCAGGGAAAGTTCCTGGAGGAGGTGATTATGAAATGGATGCTTAACAAGTTGAAGGTTTCCTGATGCACAGCAGGCGCTCATTTAATATCAGAACTGAGCTGACCTGCATGGAGCAGAATTGTCTGGGGATGGGTGACCTCTGGCTAAACAGAGGAATAACAGGAGGAAGTTTGGGGGGAAGGTGACTCCACACTGATATTATTAAGTGCTACTCTTGTCCTCTTACTCCTTTTCCCCACATTTAAACTGTGCCCCAATGACCATACCATGGTGGTCCATAATAAGTAAGAAGCAGCCTGGAAAAAAAGTTTTTTGAGGTTTTTCAAAAGAGAAGGTTGTCAAACAACAAAGATGCAAGGTGCATGCAACTCTTGTATGAGTTAATGGCCCAGTGAACCCCTCACCAGCAAGACCTCACCTCTTTCCGCAGCCGGGCGCCGGAGGGACTCCCACGCAGGTGGCGAGACAGGCGGTCCATGCCCTCGGCTAGGAGGGTCTGCACCGCCGCGAGCGCTGCTTGCACCGTGTTCAGCAGAGTCTGCGTGACGCGAGGCAGCTGCTCGTCGACCTTCCCGCGCAGGCACGACTCCAGGGGGCCCTGGACCTCGGCTGAGAGTGCAAAACACTGGCCTGGGTCCCCTCAAGGTGCTGGGCAAATGGGGTCGTGGGGAGACCCTGGGCTCACCAGGGTGAGGTGGGCGGGACGCTGACTCGCAGCGCCGTCTCCACCCATTTTACTGAGAAACGGAGGCTTCCAGTGCGGGGAGGGGGGGCACGGACTCAGGGCTCAGGAGCGCAAGCGGGAAGGCAGAGTCCGGGTTCCAGCCGCTTCTCTGTAACTGAGCGGAGAGGGGAGCACCTCCGCCACCTGACTGAACAACCCGCGTGAAACGTGCCGCTACCTGGGCCTCGTGTCCTTTCCAGACCTAGTTTCACCCGCTCCATCCCTGGCTGGACTCCTTTCCCACGGTCCCGCCCTCCTTCCTGACCCCGCCCCCAAGCCACGCCC